CGGTTCCTCCGTCTTCTCCAGTGTGCTCCTCTCTGGCAGTCAAAGCGGAGTAGAGCGAAACAATCGCATAGGGAGTCCAGGCAATCAGAAATGAGGAACACACCAATGCTGCTATCTGCAATGAAACATTTTAGGAACTATGGGATACAAGAAGGAAATAAGAAATTGTATGTGAATCATGAAAAGGAGAAATTTGAATAGAAGTTTGGAGGTAATAGCAGAGCTATTTTTGGAACCGTTGCAACCGTTGTCCCACCACTGTGATAAATGGTGCCCATTAAGGTCTCCAGTAAAAGCACCACTTTTTGAATTTTTTTTTTTATTATTATTTATGTCAGCTTTTACTTAATCATTCTTTCAAATGTGGTGCTAACTGCCTGGTATCATTAAAAAAATATTCTTATTATTCTTATTATTCTTAATTAATGTGCTCTTGTGATCTTAAATCAAAATAACTTTCCCTTCCCTTATGCGACGACATATCTTGCACCTGTGCGAGAGCAGGACAATAACCTCTCCCCTCCAGCAAACTGTTACTCACTTGAAATTGTAACAATAGCAAACGACAATGATCTAACCATCCAATCAATTCCCAGTGGACAAAATCAAGTCCCGCCCTATATTTTTTCTCATTTTATATACATAACAATAGGGAAGAAAAGACGATCACAACTTCCATTTCATGGCAACTTTAAAGCAGGCAGGTTGTCAAGTTATACCATGTATCAAAAAATTCATATGTGTCCATTTTTATTTTATTGTAATTAATTCTAAATTATTTTAGTATTTATATTTTAGTTCAATTTGTTTTAGTATAATTTATTTATGTATTAATTTATTTTTATTTTAAATTTTGTGACCAGTAATAATCAATACACTCTCATAGCAATTTTACATTTTGTCGAATGGTGGCAAAATCATATGAATTTGTAGAATCTCAATGTAGAATGCCATTTTTGTACAATCCACGTATATCGCATTGAGGGTTAGGTTTATAGGTGGATCTTCATGCTTACTTTTTTTCTACAAAATATATGCTTTCCTACTAATCAAATCATACAAATTCATACAAAATCATAAAATAATTACATTTTCCCATGACATCTGGTCTACATGGGCCCTGAGACTTTAAGATATCCCTGGTTAAAAGTGATTGCGAAGTGTGTCCTTTCCAAAGGTATGCTGGGTAAACAATCAGAGCCGGTACCTTTGTCAGCCGGAGATCTTTGCTGTTGTGAGTGACACTGGATAAAGGGATTGAAGCCAATATCCGTCCAGACCAATACACCTGAAATCACACAACAGTGTAGCAACACTTCAATTCACCTTAAATAGTTCTTCAGTCAACATTAGGATTAAACAATCAAATAACAAATGATCACTACCATCATCCTCAGAATAAATCAAAATGATCAGGACATGTCTTAGGTTCAAGTGTTTCAGAATCATTATTAATACTGATAATCTCTCTGTTTCTCACCTTGATGAGGATAGCGAGGTATGAAGTGATGATAGTGAACGTGGGAAGTCCAAAGCAAAGTGACAGGATCAGGTAAATATAGATTCTATCATTAAGTGAAGACTTCATTCTCCACCTGTGGCCACAGGAAACAATGCATGAACACATCAACACATTTTCTGTGATGAGTGGATGTTGCAGTGGTTTGTGGGTAAAGTAACACTCAGCTGCTTGAAAGTGAACGCTATATATTTGTCCCTTGAGAATGCACTCTGAAAACACCAACTAATCTTTGGGGAAAAGGTTGGTGACTCATTTACAAGTGTTACTAATGGTTATGGTGCATTACCAGTTTATGGTGCAGCTGGTTCCAAATGGTTCCGGTCCGTAACTACCAAAGCCAAACACAGGAAGTGAGGCCCAGAATAATGTATAGATCCACACCAGAGCCACAGACAGAGAGGCATGTTTTCTCTCAATCCACTGACCTGAGACAAAGAAACAAGTACATTTGTAAACATCTAAAAGCTTACTTGATGGAGCAAAGTGACAGGATCAGGTAAATATAGACTCTATCATTAAGTGAAGACTTCATTCTCCACCTGTGGCCACAGGAAACAATGCATGAACACATCAACACATATTTTCTGTGATGAGTGGATGTTGCAGTGGTTTGTGGGTAAAGTAACACTCAGCTGCTTGAAAGTGAACGCTATATATTTGTCCCTTGAGAATGCACTCTGAAAACACCAACTAATCTTTGGGGAAAAGGTTGGTGACTCATTTACAAGTGTTACTAATGGTTATGGTGCATTACCAGTTTATGGTGCAGCTGGTTCCAAATGGTTCCGGTCCGTAACTACCAAAGCCAAACACAGGAAGTGAGGCCCAGAATAATGTATAGATCCACACCAGAGCCACAGACAGAGAGGCATGTTTTCTCTCAATCCACTGACCTGAGACAAAGAAACAAGTACATTTGTAAACATCTAAAAGCTTACTTGATGGCTCCTAAAACATATTAGCCGGGTATTATTATATCGATTGTCCCATTCTGTTAGCTGAGAGAAAGATATGCAGTCCATCAAAATTAGAAATCTATGTTGTGCACTGGATATGCATAAATGACAACCATAATCTCTGATCTTGTGCATTGACATACTATTCTTTTAAGAAGGGAGGCAAATTGTAATTATGGAAATAATGCAGTGAATTTCTCCAATCATAAACCGACTTGAGTGATCTCATTTTCTCAGCACATGCTTTGTTCTCTCTCTGCCTGTTAAATGATTTTGTGAGAAATTTTCAGCATGATATTATTCCTTTGAAATGTGCCTATTATTTGAGATACAGTGGTTAAAGTGTAAAATACTTCAGAAAGGGGTTTCAGATTATGGGGAAAGTGATTTCCCTTGGTGATAGTGCTAATTATTTGTCCAACAAGAATAACCAAATTCTGTACTTCCATCAATAATGCCTGATGTGGAAATGAATGATTGGGTAGGCCAATATTTTACCTAACTTGCAAGTCTCAGTAATATATAATAAAATAAAACAAAACAAAAATTCAGTGGATAAAAAGGGAAAATTACCATATCGAAAGCTACAGATCTTGAAGCAGCGGTCAAGGGAGATAAGGCAGGTAGTGATGAGAGACCCAATGCCAAAAACGAAGCCCTGAAACCCGTACCACATACATCCTGTTTCCCCAAAAATCCATGCATGCGACAGACTAAGAGAGACAAACAGGGAGAAAAAGTTTAGAGCAGTAGCAAAATACTGAGCACAGCAAATCCAAAAATATCCAGAAGAACTCTACATATTTCATATTCTGAAATTCTGCAGATCTAAGGTTTTTCTGAGTTTATTTTCTATAAGACTGAACCAATTTCTTCTTGTGTGTATACAAGTTCACAAACCAGGCATGATGATTTTTTATTCAGATAGCTTTCCATCTTCTGACCCAAGATGTTAGAGGCCCACGCTTTTTATTTTCTTTTTCTTCACAAAAAGGGCACGGTTTGGTGGTTTGTAAAAAATAATTATTTCAGCTACATAAAAGTGAAACCCTTTTGGCCCCTTGCGAATGCACTCCAAATACCATGAAAAGTATAGTGGCTCGAGATTTTAAAGGATTTTTGTTTTCATTTTCCACAAAAATCAATTTTTAAGTAAACACATGCATTAAATAAAAAATGAAGCAAAACTGATTCAAGAGCACATCTAAAGTATTTTCCCCTGACCAAATGCCTGTTAAATTTTAGATCCTCTCTAAAGTCAAATCCGATCAATAATATACCCAGCGTTTATGTTCTACATTATGTAATATCATTATCAATGGCTTATACTCGGACTGTCAATCACAATACTCTGATCTTGACAGACACTCACACACTTCAGAAGATATGGAGGGATAATCACAAGAGCGACTGATGCATGCCTTGCCATAGACTAATACAGGCTTTAAGAGAGCTTAGTATAACTCGTAATGTACACTGGCATGCCAAGCAAACTTAGTATAACCCTTCAAAATACACGTTAGGAATCAGGCTATGTGAAAATGTACTATCTAAAGTAGCAGTCAGTGCAATGGTGGTACCTTGAGGTGATGATACATGGCGCCCCCAGCAGCCTGTAGCCAAAATCACAAACGGCCAGATTGATGGTCATCAGCTCGTGCGCTCTGAGCTTCTTTCTCCTCTGACCGTAAACCAACAAAACCAGCCCATTCCCGACCACCGACACCACACCTGCGACAGACAGAGAGAAATATAGATCATAGTACCAAGCGTCATCTTACACAACCAAAATGTTACATTAAATATTGTAATATATATTTCACTATAAATTAAATTAAATGTACAATTTTAATCTAAAAAAGTCAGGACAATGCATGTAACTTTAAAAAGTAAAACATATTTTAAATAGTATGATAACTTTCTTTCCTAGCATTCTTTGCAGTGAGCTTAAAAATATTGTGAGCTAAAAAGTATTGACTGATTGTTTATAATTTTTTAGTTTAGTTGAATACAATATATATATCACCATAAATTACACAGTATTTCTTTTTTAACTTTTAAAAACTTACATGTGTTGTAATTTTTAATGGGACAATATGTGTACTTTTTTACAGAAAGAGTTTTAATATAT